GCGGAGTGCCGGAGTCTGAAGCAAAGTGTATTCACTGGCCAGGGCCCATACTTTAAAAAAAAGTTAAGAGATCGTAAGTTCATCAGCCAATCATTGACGGCATTTCAAACCAAATTCACCAATCATAGACAAGAAAATAGGGCGTAAGTACTCACGTTCACTTAGCGAGTTTTGAAAGTATGGCCCCTGAACGTTATTACACTTAATTACGACCACACACAGTCTTAGATTTCGCACTTCGTCATCTCGTTTTGTAATTTCGTTTCTCCTTTCGTCACTTCGTATCTTAGTTAACCCAGATCCTCCGATGATTTGGTGAGCGCTATTAGTCCGTCGTGCGTTTAAATGTTGTCATGTTGCTTGCATTATATTGTTGTCATGTTGCTTGCATTTTGTCTTATCTTACTGTGAAATTGCTCATTAGCTGAACGTCAGCATCAATAAAACCTTGATACTGTATCGAATCATCTCGTCTAGCTACCTCGCCCAAAGATACTAGGAGCTTTCTCTATACTGTAATTTGTTTTCTCTTTTCTGACCGCGATTTAATTTGACTTAGCAGAGGTACTTTTCCAAATTCTCACTTACGCACTTTTTTCAGGGATTTTTTTGGAGGTAGTAAATGTATTTCTTAACTTGCTTAATGCTTCATAGATAGGAAAATTGTTGAACTGTACACCACTGGTTTTAGTTTTGCAATATTTTAATTAGCTTAGCTGCTACGACATTTCTACGAAATGTTAGAAGACTATCCCTTATTACTCCATCCGTCCCTTATTATCCCGTTTGACAGTAATACTAAACTTACACTTAATCATTATTTATTATAAACAATGGGCCTAGAATCTTTTCAGAAAAGCTATTAAATTATAGAAAAATGAAAAAATATCAATCAAACAAGAGACAACTAAACTAATCTATGATAAATCTGAGGTACTATACAATTGAAAGTTTGTCTACTTCTGATCTTCCTTTTTTTCATAGTCAGTCCCCTGGCAGAGCACTGTACCATTTCTAAGGGAAGCTTTCCACCTTGAATTGAAAGCTTTTTTATAAGGGAACTTGCATGCCTAGAATTCCACTCTGATGGGCATGGTTAACAATTTATTGCTTTGAACATAATACTTGGAATTTGGTCTTCGATTTTTAAAATTATTCTGTCAATTGATTCACACATTGTCTCTGACTTGGCACTAGTGTGCAAAATTTCAGATTGATAAGACAGGTAGAAGTGTTTTAAATATCAATTATAAGATTTGTAGCAGACAAACAAACAAACAAACAAAAAGAGAAGTGTTGTAATAAGATACAGGAATCAAGCCAACATTTCATGGAAAAACATATTGATCTATCCATGCCTCATCTATAGAGGCATCTATCCAAGGCATCTATAGAGAACAGTAATAAACCTACACAAAGAATTATTTAAAAAATATCCAATTGGTGTTTGGTATTTATAAGATACTTACATTATAAAAATAAAATAACCCCAGTAAGATCCAAGTAGATACCGAATACTGATGTGCTATGAAATAAATTAAATTTTGAAAGACAACTGAAGTTGCAGGTTTATGTATTAATCATGTTCATGTTAATTAATGTACCTATTCTCTTCATATATTAAAAAAAATTGAATGGCAAAGAATCTGACATCATTACAGAAGCTTAGGAGAAACAGAAGTATTAAATATATACAATAATTCTGGAACAGTGGAACCTCACCTGACCTGTCAGAATACTTATGCATAGAAAAGATTGACAATAATTTTCAAACCTGAACTTTAACATTGAAATCTCAACTTATGCCTTTGACCAAGTATATACTCTTTCAATACAATACATGCTTCAAATGTTTTGAAATGAAGTTTTATTCCCATTGTCCCGAGTAGCCCCGACCGACGGGGCTACTCAGGACAATCTTTATTTTGCGTCTGGCACCTTACGAATAGCATATGGAATTTTTTTGACAATGCCATTCAATAGCCCTCGCAAAGAGCTATAAAATGAGCCTAAATTTGTTTATAAAATGTTTCATCATAAGAAGTTATTAACAAAAAAACGATCAAATCTGTCCCGAGTAGCCCCGGTTGACAGTACCTTAGACCAGGTTCAATGGAAATAAAACAAATAAAAAACTTTTAAAAACCAGGTTTTCTTAATGGACAAATAAAACAAATAAGAAACTTAAAAACCATGTTTTCTTAACGGACAAAAAATAAAAACATTTTCTCTTATATATCATTAAAGTTATGTAAAATGTTATGTAATATTAAGTAAGAGTAAATGTTTTTCTTTTTTGTCCATTAAGAAAACATGTTTTTAAAAAGTTTTTCATGTTTTATTTGCCTGTTAAGAAAACATGGTTTTTAAAAGTTTTTTTATTTGTTTTATTTCACTATTTTTAGTTTTGTAAAAACCAGAAAAACATGTTTTTTGAAATATTTTTTATATTTATTTATTTTAGCAATTCACATCAATTAGTTAGCAATTCACATCAATTTCCAGGGTTGGCAAGTGTGGATGTTTGAGAAAAAACTCGATTCCAAACCGTGAATTTTTAGTGTTTTTTTTCTAAAAATTTTTTTTTACATTATCATTTCTGATGATCAAATCTTGAATTGTTAGGCAGCATAAGCATGCATGCCAAATTTCAAGTTTCTAGGATTAATTAATTAGTACCAAAAGTATTACCGTAATTGTATTAATTTTACACAAAATTAATATAAAATGCCAAGATATTATCTGTGGCAGGTATTATTTGTGGTGGAGGGTAAAGTTCCTGCCAAATGTGCTAGGGTTGGAAGTTTAGTAAATAGGCTGTGTTAAATTCAATACCGTACTGTCAAATGGGGTAAAAAGGGACAGTTTTGATTGTATTTTTTTAATAACTTCTTACCATGAAACATTTCAGAAACGAGTTTGGGCTCATTTTAAAGCTCATTGCGAGGGCTATTGAATGGCATTTCCAATACAATTTCATATGCTGTACGTGAGGCGCCAGATGCAAAATAAAAGCATCCTAAATTACCCCTGGGAACCGGGTAATTTGGGACACATGCAATAAAACTTGATTTTTAAACATTTAAAGCATGCAGAGTGTAGTCATTCATTACTAACAGTACTCGGAAGTCCTCCTCTTTCATTGTAGATGATGTAGAGGTAGAATAAATGACATATTCTGTGATTTTTACTTGTTTTTCCTTTAATGATATGATAATACCATATACATTAATTACCGTATTATTGATGTGATATTACCTTGTCCATGAACAGGCCATTGAGCATTTTGTCTAACTTGTCCACTGCAAGCTTCATATCAGCAGCCTTATAGCATTTTTTCTGTATCTGTAAGGTTACAGGACAGCTTGTAATTTCACACCATTTTAATTGGGTTAAGTGAATTTATTATAAAAAAATTGTAAAAAAACATACCTGAAACAGGAATGTTTTAGTGACAACCATCATATGTTTTGGAGAAATAAACCATAGTTTAGGTCAATTACTTATCATTCTATGATGCCTGGTGCACAATTCTATATATGACATTCTATGCACAGTTTTGTGATGATCGATGATGCACTAATTTTTCAATAAGTGAAATTTTTTCTCTGAGCGAGGTAAATGTAATCAATATTCTTTGTTTTTAATCAATTTTTTTCTTAACTGGAGCCTTTGCTAACTTAGGTTCTACTGTAAATGCATTTTTAAGGGTGTTCCTTTTTACCTCATCACGAGGAAATGGCTGCCATTTTTTTTTTTTTTGGAATGAGATAGGCAAATTCTGTCAATTAACGGTATGTTTCAAAGCCGACACCTGGGTGCAACTTTTATGTAAGTAAAATTTTTTAATACGGTGAATATTTTTTTTGCTCCAGACCTTAACAGAGGTACATTTTCAAAATTGCACTTTTCACACTTTTTTTCAACAATTTTTTTAGAGAAAGTAAATGTTTGATTTCTTGACTAGCTTTATACATAATAGATAGTAAAAATGTTGAAGTTTACGCCACTATTTTTAGTTTTGCAATATTTTGATTAGTTTGGGCTGCTACAACATTTCTACAAAATGTGTGACGTGCGTCCCGATTTACCCCGCCTGTCCCTTTTTACCCCATTTGACAGTAGGTATTTTCTTGAAAGTTGTTCTTGCTTCAATGTAGTCACAGCCAGTGGCCTTGTTATAGTAATTAAATCTGGCAGCAGCCTTCATGCTTGGTGAAAAGTGTTCCTGTGCTCCTATTGTGTGCAAATGTTGGTAATGTTGCTAACCAGTAATGGTCAGCACAATCAAATTTGAACATCCTCTAATGAAAGTTGGATTAAAAGAGGAAGAAATGTGTGTTGTGCAATGAAATTAGGATATTTTCCTGTTTTCTTGTCATGGTCATAATTTCATGTTCAGAATTAACTGTTTGCTATTTTTTCAGAGTTTTACAAATGTAATTCCTTCAGCAATGATAGCCAGATTCAGAACTTGCAAATCATTGCAAGAAGTAAATACGTTATGTATTTCTAGACATTTGAAGTTGCAAACCACTTCTTATGCTTCAGATTCTCAAAATGACATCATTGCTCCCACCCACTTGATAGTGAAGCGCAGTAAAATTGTTGACGGTTGCAAAAATATCTTCAAGGATGTAAATGAAAGCTCATTTCTAAAGGATCAAAAAGGTGCATCAGTGGAGGATTCCCTAGATCCAACTTCTATCCAATGGTCTCATTCATCAAAGACAAATAAAGAATCCGATGATTGCACATGTCTTGACACAATTCCTGCTGCTGCTCCTCAGATAGCAATGGCTTCCAAGAAATTACTTCCTGAACCTCCAAATACTTGCTGTCAATCTGGGTGCCCCAACTGTGTATGGCTGGATTATGCTGAACAACTTTCACTTTATTATAAAGATGGTGGATTAGAAGCTATTAGTGCTATCAATAGAGATATTGATGACCCTAATCTCCGTGAATATCTATTGTTTGAAATAAGGATGAAAAACTTGTGAAATATTTCATGATGTACCTAGTAAACTTATTTAATTTTCTAATTCTATTTATCATTGTAATATGCTTATAAATTGGTACCTGTACCAGTTAAGGTGTAACAGGTTATGCGTTGAAAATGGTTTATTGATTCAAGTTGTAAAGTGAAATTATTGTAGCTTCAGAAAGCTAATGCATCTGATCAGGAAAGCTATTTTATCAACAATTTTTAGCCACCTGTCTAATTTAAGAAGTTTGTTTATATGTTGGGAGTTATAGGTGTTTTGGTACCATGCAAACCTGCCCTTGCTTAGTTTAAAGAACTAAATTGAAAAATCAACTTTATTATTATAGTGTTCTATGATTCTCATAATACTCTTCTGCATATTTATTTGTACCTAATGAAAGATTCAAAAAGTGATTCTTTTAATGGATTTTGGACTTTGCCTGCTGTCAAATTTACAAACAAAGATTTCATTCATTATGCGCACAATGAGTCCACAACAATGTCTATCGTACCTTGTAGTTCAAGGGATTCTGCTGCACTACCTGAACAATTACTGCCATCATCCTTGCAAAATATTGAAGTATCTACAAGAAACTATGGTGGAAGACCTGATGCTCAATGTCTAGAGCTTCTTCAGAGTGTTGGAAAAAGCTCAAAATGCAATGAAGAGGAAGAAATCACCAAACAAACCTTGTCAAAGCTTGATAGGTTTCTGATGACCAAATGGAAGGCTGCATCTGAAGTTGGAGCCTTGAATTACAGCGTTGCAAATGTGCTCACTAAGATCTTGCCAGGAAAATATTGCATAGTTGCTCAGGTATGGAAACCCACAATTATCCACAGATCATAACTACTGATATATTCTTTCACATGTTGTTTAAAAGAATTTAAGAGTTCTGTGCAATTATAAAATTCTGTGTAGTTTCCAGAGTTGAATTTTGTAACCAAGATTTTACTTTTCAGCTGAACCCTGCACGTGCAATGCAGCGAAGGAAGCCTCAGTCATTCACAAAACTCCATGAACCGTTCAACCCAGATTTGTTTAATTTCACAAAAATTAAAAGTTCTGAATTGTTATTCAACATCCATTTAGTTCTGGTGAGATTTGAAACTTGAATAACAGCTAGAAGATTTGCGAGGGAGATTTTATAAGATGAATGTGTTGCAAATGTTATGATGTTGTATCAATATTTATCAATAATGTCTCAATATGTTATTTTGTTTACAAGATGCAGCCAATTATTATCAGTTTTAGCATACTCATGTGTTAGTACTCAGGACTATTTGACCACTTAATGTGAGGAGCCCTTCCAATGAGTTATCCATTTATGTTGTTGCTGAAATTTCAAGCATCTATTTTGGGTGCCATAATATCAATTGTTGTTCTCATATGGCTGACAATCAATTCCAAAATTTATTTACACAAGATCTTGAAAAAGAAATATTTGGTTGATGATCCATAATATCATTCAATGACATTATTTCAGGAGAATAATGAAGATCTGAGTGGATCAATCATTGTGAATGCAGCACCAATTTGTAGCACACATAGTCTGCTCCTGCCATCTGTGCAGTCATGTCTGCCACAACTCATTGACAGGGATGGTCTTATGCTGGCAGTCTCCACTGTTCTCTTGTCCAGCTCTCCGTATGTGGTCTAAGTTTGCTTGCATAAATTATTTTCCTTTGTGTGTGCTTATTTCAACCCTGATGTAGTCAGAAGTAGTACGCGGCTCAAAATGTGATATTTGTGTGACTTCTACACAAGCTAGAACTAAGTTACAATTCACAAAATTAGGAGGAATTTTAAATTTTTCCAAAAGTATTTGAGATTAAATGGAATGATTTTAAAGCTGTAACTAATCAGCATTTCTCATTATTGTTCATTATCTATTTTTAGTAAACATTAACATTAGAATTATGTGTCTTGTTCATTGTTCTTTCATGAGTTCATTCCGTGTGGGCTTCAACTCTTTGTGTGCCTATGCCTCTGTCAACCACCACCACTACCACTGCTACTTCCTTCCCCAGCACCTCTATGTGGAGTCGGCTGTGAGTTGCATGAAATTGACATTAAACACTGAAATTATCATAGGTTAGACTTTGTTGATAATCTATTCTACATTTTTGTAGTGTTCACATATTTTCATAATGGTAAATGTATTGTCTTGAAAGAAATAATATTACTAAGATAAATTTTATATGTAAATTATTATCCACCAATTTCACATCAATAAATTACTAACAATTTAGTCTCATTGCCAACGGTATTGATTGATTTAAATACATGTTTTAAAAGCACCAGCATTGTGATGATATGCACTTGTGCAGGCCTGCCGTCCTGTGCGTGGTCGCTGCCATGTTTTTATCGACCACTACGCCCCTGGTTTTGTGTTTCAAGTTGACCCAAACTGCCTGATTGAGAGTGTTGGGTGAGGATAAGCTGTTGAGTTTAGTTTTCCAATTATTCTACTGTCATTATTTGTGAAGTTTTGTGCTCTAACAAGAGAAGTCATGGTTACCTAGACAAAGCTCCTACTTTAACCTGAGCTAGAAATTCTCTTCTCCAATGCTCCAATATATAAAATGACTATAGATCTCTTATCCAATATAATATTTATTTGAAACATTATCTAGAACTGCAAGTTCATATCTTCAGTCTAGTGGAAATTTTAATTAAAATGGTAAATGAAATGAAAGGGAAATTTTCTGGTTTTTATCCGGGAAGTTGCAATCAAAGTAGAACATTTCAAAACTTATTTATATATCTATCTTTTCTGTATTTCGTCCCTTTCCACACTTAATTTATAATTTATTTTAACACTGGCAGGCTTGTAGAATGTATTATTGATTTATCTTTGATGGTATATTATTTAATTTTCAGTGAAAAGAAGATACTGCAAAGTTTTTAAGAACAAGGGCTGAGATGAACACTGGCACAAACGACTGCTAATTTAATGACAATAATGCATCGTATTCGAATCATAAACATTGCATTAATTCCACTCAATATTAAACGTTTTTGAAAATCGAGGCATTGATCAGCAATTATATATAATCATTTTCCATTGATACCGGTTATTGATATTTTTGCAATAATAACAGTTCTCTTGGTGGGCTGAGGAGGTAATTTTCTTCAGTACATTCGAATGTCATTCACAATAAAAACGAACTATTTTATTTCTTTTTATGTTTACACTACAGATTTTCTTGTGTTTTATTCACCCAGTGCGGCAATGAAGCTCCTGTCGTGGATGATTTCTGCAGACATCCCACACAACGTCTTCATCACGCGCGGCCAGTCGCTGGACGACTCACGAGGCCCTGATGTTGAGGTGGTACCTGTAGTTGGGTGTAGTGGGTCCTGATGAGGTGCAGATGTTGAGGTGGTACCTGTAGTTGGGTGTAGTGGGTCCTGATGAGGTGCAGATGTTGAGGTGGTAGTGGGGAGTCGTGGGAGTGGGCCCTGATGAGGTGCAGATGTTGAGGTGGTAGTGGAGCGTCGTGGGCCCTGATGAGGTGCAGATGTTGAGGTGGTAGTGGAGCGTCGTGGGAACTGATGAGGTGCAGATGTTGAGGTGGTAGTGGGGAGTCGTGGGCTCTAATGAGGTGCAGATGTTGAGGTGGTAGTGGGGCGTCGTGGGCTCTGATGAGGTGCAGATGTTGTCTAGTTGATGAAGCATACCAGGTGAGCGGTGTTTCGATGCTGATGTTGGCTGAGATATAACGCAACTGTAGCGATCTTAAAGTAGTCATATCTTGCTTCTGACTTCATAGATGTTGAGAGACAATTGAAGTACGACGCTAGATATAATTAGCCTCCATAATTGTACTAGTGGAAGCTGTGGTCGCTGCAGTGTGCGAGTTAAGCTTTTTATTGAAGTTGCAAATGTTCAGGCTGAGCTGTTCCTCCTCAAGACATGACTGGAACCGGTATTTGTTGACTTATGCTATCTTGTATACTGTGCCAACCATTTTTCATACCCTTTGTATACTTTATAAGGTACCTTGAATGATGAGTCACTTGACGCAGGATGCCAAAGACGACTCAGAGCTGGAGGCTTGTGCGGCTGCCACCGGCAGCGCTGAAAAGACATACCAGGTCATCAGAATATGCATCTGGGCTCGAGAAGCCAGCACCGGTGAGAATACAAATTAATGTGTGCTTCTCAGTATTTTACAATTTATTTTCCCATACATTCACTGCAGGCGTATGTATTTTTGAACCTAATGAAATGAGAAATTGTGTCATATTACGCTCATTTTATTGCAATGCTGGATTTTTTTGCAGGATTAATTGAGAGCAATCCAATAGTCACAAATTTTTATAGAATTTTCATGGTAAAATATCTTATTAATCACTTATTATTTCTAGGTTCGTGAGTTTTAGATTTTAAGCAGTTAATTCAATTATTGCAAACTGGGAATATTTACTCATGACACATTAGAGACGAAACTCGCTCACGCTCCCCGGTTGCCGTGTTTCTATTGACGAAGATGCCCATTTTAATTGCAGGTTCTATTGACGAAGATGCCCATTTTAATTGCAGGAGCCAAAGACGTGTCGGTGTTCGCTCCAGCTCTCTGCGAACTTGCCGGCCATGTTCCTATCTACAGTAAGTAGCCGGCCATGTTCCTATCTACAGTAAGTAGCCGGCCATGTTCCTATCTACAGTAAGTAGCCGGCCATGTTCCTATCTACAGTAAGTTGCCGGCCATGTTCCTATCTACAGTAAGTAGCCGGCCATGTTCCTATCTACAGTAAGTAGCCGGCCATGTTCCCATCTAAAGTAAGTTGCTAGCTATGTCCCCATTTGTAGTGAGTGTTGTAGTCAGGTGCGTTTGATACCTAGCAGATACCATTACTAGTTTGAAGATCTATGTCCATATTCTCGTCGCTTTAATATTAAATCTTTCGAACACTCAGCAAAGGGCAACAAATTTTTAATTCTATTGGGGTTCAAACTTCTGTTCAAGTTGTAATTATGATTTTTGGGTCTTGTTTTCATAGAAAATATCTAAATTTCTTAATTGGCGTTGCTTCGGTGTAAAATGAGTATACTCGTGAGCCAACATTTCTTCTGTGATAAATATTATTTCATTCTATTTGTCGACCCAGCGTCTGTTAGTATTTCACTTTACTGGTTCGAAGCAAATCTATTATGAATATTATTGTGAATTCGACGAATCGTCATTTCAGAACTGTCGGGGGAACTGATACGGTACCTCGTATACTTAGCCTTGCTTTTACCCACAGATGCCGACTATTGGGATCGAATTAATGAGGAATACATCACCAAGGAAATACATTCGTTGTGTAAAGACGCATTTGATTTTGTCTTGGCGAATATCGAAAGTATATTGTAAAGAAGCATAAGTTTTCTTTATCGTGGTTGTTTGCTAATATATTAGTAAGGGCTTCTCTCATGGATATTCCAGAGAAGTATTATGATCAACAATATTTGTCTTCTGCAACAAGTTAGGAGAGCAGTAGGTTCGAAATAAGCAATACCATTACTTTATCATTTCGAGGCATTGCATAGAGTTCGAGTTCTGCAAAATATTAGTCGGGCGTGTGAATATTCCTCGGTGCCAGTCCCGTATGATAAGTTCAACTGAAAGTTTTCCCTTTTGATTCGTCTCTCTGCAAACTTGAGTAACTATTGATGGCAGGGTGGCCCTGTGGTTAAAGTTTCAGGAATGAAGCAGAGTACCAGGAGTGGAGCAGAGAGGTGCGGGTTCGATCCCAGCTCTGTGCACCAGTTTCTGGTCAGAATCGGCGAGGAGGCCGGGCGGTTAAGCACAGCAAAATTGGGACACCGCAAATCGTCGGGCAGTGGGGAGTACTGTAGACGCCGACCACTGCCACATACCGTATTATCAGAGCTGGGCAGCGCTACTTTGAAATTTAGCGGCCGCTATCGCTGCCGCTACATGCTCTAAATGTAGCGGGCGCTACCGCTACACCCACTAGAACAAAACTGGGACAGCGCAAACCGTCGGGTAGTGGGGAGTACTGTAGTCGCCGACCACTGCCACATACCTTATTATCGTGGCCCATTGAGGCCTTCACGGTTGGCATTTTACTACTTTTAACTCCTCAAATTCAACATAATATGGATATATATATTTTATATACATTTAATATATATATGTATAATATACTGTTAACCACTATATACTCTTAACAACTGACCTCCCCCAACCTTCCTACGAATCTCGAGCAACTCGTCTATCACCACCATAATCATCACCATTATCACCCCTTAAAACATTCATTACAAATCTACTTACATCTGTTATTATTTTCTTCCCAACTGTATCACTAAATGTTTAGTTGAAAGCTCTCGAGCGTTTAGGTTCTACGTTACGGCACAGACACGAAAGAATTATACAATTTCGTCGTTATTCTAAAACCTTCGTCGAACAGTCTCTCTTTAATGGTTTACCATAAAATTCATCGTGAATCTTTAATCTGCAATTTCATTGGTATCCTGGTGTCGTTTGCGAATGACGATGCAGTGGCGTGGTTAACAGCCACATCTATGTCGGCTATGTGAATGAGGAAGAGGATTGGGCCGAGTACCTTTCCCTGTGGTACTACTCCACTCTTCACCCTAAATTAAGCACGAGAACTACTTCGGGGTATGAACAATTTTTAGTTGTCAGACAATGCAACGAACGATGTTTACTGCGCAACCCGGCCTGTATATTCTAACGACTTACAACAGTTGCTATACGCTACCCTCCAGCTTCCTGCTGTGAACTATTTAATTAAACGATACATCTACCAAGTTTTCTAATTAGCGCGCAGCATAAGACGAGATGAAACCAATAGTGACCAATACATCCTTTTAACTACCAATAGCGCCAATATGCAGTATTAGTTGAAGGTGTGCAGTGGATATTTGGCAAATAGCTAGCTTGCCACATAATGATGTGGATAATGTACCTATATTGAAGTAGATTAGTAGACTATTAAATATACCTGGGTAAGATGAGTATGAGGCTGAGTGATGAGTGGGGTTGGTATTAAGGTTAAAAAGGTCAGTGAAATTATGAGTTAAGCTATATACCAACTCGAGACCTGCAAAAATCTTATACCCAAGCAGATGAACACAGAATATTTAGCTCTCAAATTACAGAATGGAATCGGCATTGATGACCTAATTAAAATAATTGAAGTTGATCCACATGAATAATGACTTATTTCATGAGATTCAGCTTTATCTACGTGCATCTAATAAAATGACAGGAGCTAACTTCACAACCGCGCATCTTACAGCGGATTCAAGTGATTCAGCGCAAATTAGCAAATTATGATTCAACAGCGAATGTGCAAAAATAATTTTTTGCTCTAAAAATAAATTTTTAGAGCAAAAAATAATAGTCATAAATAAATGCAAAAGAAAATTTTCGGGAGAATATCAGATGATAATGAAAGACAATGCAGTCTATTATGAGTAAGCCAGAATAGAATAGGCGATTATAGTATTTGCCAGGATGACAATATCTATAGCATTTAGATGGTTGATGTTGGCTCCAGGGCTGATTTGTGCGCATTATGCTGCGCATCCGCTCCGAGCATAAACGTATTCAAGAACCGACTAGATAAAGCCATGGAGAAATATATGTTCGAAATTGAAATGCCTAGCACCATATTGAACCCGGTGGAAGTCTAATACATAGCTATTTCAAACTATCGTCAATTTGGAAAAGATCCGGTCGAAAGACCCGTTTTTAAATCTCCCGTGGACAAGTCACGAAAAGTACTAGAATCGGCGATAGGCCACATCAGGCATATTTTTCAGAGCCGATATCACTATGATATGATTATGATATGACTTGATGTCGGCGTTCAAAAGGCGCTCTGACGGATCTGGACTCCTGACGATGTTGCCAGACGATTGAGGATAGGTAGAGTTTAGCGCCACATTTCACCAATCATGGAATACATATTCATCTTTGCCAAGCACAAAAACTGAAAATTGTTAAACGACCACCGGATAAAATTAATAAATAATTGTCCCTGAGAAACTGGCTTTATGTTGCTGATCATTAATGTTTTCAAAATACTGATTTCAAGCGTTGACATTTGGATAAGGTTTATAGGTAAGAGGACTTATGCGTAATTAAGGCATCTAGCTGTATAAAAATTATATTTAATTGAATAATACTCGTGTTGACGCGACAGATACCTGGTAGTACTCGCGACCGCTCGGGACCTCTAATCCCGACTCGATTACAGGATGGTTGGGAAACACTGGTTTAGGAGAGGGAACGATATATAGTGGGAGAGATTAGGTTAACTAAGTAACGATTTCAGCATTTCATCACAACCGACTTCCTTTTGCAGGGACCAATAAGAACAAAAATTACTGTACAGGGCCTATACTTTCAAAAAAAGTTAAGAGATCGTAAGTTCATCAGCCAATCATTGACGGTCTTTCAAGCCAAATCCAGCAATCATAGACAAGAAAATAGAGCGTAAGTACTTACGTTCACTTAGCGAGTTTTGAAAGTATGGCCCCGGAAGTGGATATGGAGTTCTGTTCTAACCGTTGAGGCAAGAGGTTCCTTGTGCTGAGCTCCCGTGACAGTAGCCGGCTTCAGCCGGCTGCTACGTCATCTTTCTGGAACTATCTTTCTCGAACTTTGAAAATGCCGTGCTGCCCCGCTCCGAGGCGTTGAGCCGGCGAATGATACGAACAGCTAAAGTGAAGTTTAACTCCTGAACACCTATAAATGCTCCCGGCATCTAACTGCAGAATTTCGTTACAAAGATTTTGAGGTGCCTCCATGTGTGCTTAGTACCCCCGGGTTCGTGGTTAGTGCCCCCAGGTGAGTGGTTAGTGTCCCTAGGTAGTGGTTAGTGTCCCCAAGTAGTGGTTAGTGTCCCCAGGTGAGTGGTTAGTGTCCCCAGGTAGTGGTTAGTGTCCCCAGGTAGTGGTTAGTGTCCCCAGGTAGT